TTTGCACACACGCATCGCGAACACGCGGCGCAAAGCCTCAAAGGCGCGCCTTCAGCCTCGAGTTCCATCGATCCCTCCCTTCCTCTTCATCCCTTTCCTCCGGCTTCGTCCCTCATCTTCTCTCGTTCCCTGCCTGGTGGGCGGAACAAAGCCACCGGAAATCGCCCGAGTGGTACTTTGGCCCGTTGGTGGCGCCATCTTGTACTGGGTGGTGAGTTTTATGGGGGAGAAACGTGTACGCATTGTTCCTGCAACCAGGTAGTTCCATGCGGGCTCTCTCTTTTTCACCTTTCATCTCCTTTCCCACCCCTTTTGCTCTCTTCCCTTACGTAAGTTTCCGTCGATCGAGTTCCACGAGAAATTGACAAGTCGACTTTGGATTGTCGAATTACATAGGTAAGAAGCGCAATTTTAATGAAGCAGCATCTTCCGAAAGCACCGATGCATTTTTTTGCTTCCCTTCTCACTGCTCTATTAGTTTCCATTAAGGATATATGATAGTCATGGAAAGTCTGCTTAATTCGTATCTTGTCGATAAAAGACGCTAATCTATCGTAAATAGAGGACAAGATGGAGAGAAAGGGGAGAACATTTACGTAGTCTTACCTTTTACTTACACACATGTTGTACAATGTTTATCTACACCCACCATATAAGCATATAAAACCGGGAGAATTGTTTGATAGGAATGTTTGCACAAGAGGAAGATTTCTAAGAAGAAAAGACGGATGTCAAGGTTATCGACATCCAATTTTCCGGAAATTGTTGTTTATATGTTACTAAGATCAATATGTTTTTTGCTGAAAATGACAATCTTTTTGACTCTTCGTTCATATAATAAAAATAACATTTTTCTTACGGGCGAAAGAAGAGAGGAAGATGGAGATTTTTATTAATTTCTTTTCTTAATCGATACTTTTTGATCCACGCGTTGAAATGAAAAAGCTTCGCTTTGCAAATATATATAATTTCATCGAAATTTTATTTACATCGAAAGCAATTCAAAATGTGACACTTTATTTAACTATATTTATTTTGAATGTAAAATTAAAAAAATATTGATGAATGTTTTTGAAAAAAAATATGTATACTGTAATCTTGTCAAATACATCAAATTGAGCTGGAATTTTTTATTTTACATTTCCAAATCGTTTTATTCTTCAAAATTGCGAGGCGAAATTTATTTTCAAAAAATATTTGAAATAATCTTAAGCTAATCATCCCCGTATTTGAGGAATAGCTAATTTATTACGTTACGATTACTATAGAAAAGATGCGTAAAGAAAGCTCAAGCTGGATAAAGAATCGAGAAGAATAAGGGGTAGATAGAGCTTTTAGTCCGCCAATGCTATTTATAAGCACGATATCTCTCTTTTTTTCTCTCTCGATGCATTCGCTAAAGAGAGAGAAAACGAAGCTATGCGACGTGGCAGGTCGACGGGAAAGTGTAATTTCAGTTTGAAACAGGAACAGGGAGAGGCCGACCCACATCGAGGTTTTGAGTGTTTGTACTGCTGACGCGGCAATCCAATCCAATCCAATACCCGTACCGTATACACATATGAACGAGAATCGTTTCTCTCTCTTCCTCTCTCCATCACTTTTTTCCCTCCCCCTAAGTCTGGTTTCCAATACAATTTCGCTTTTGCCCAAAGCTCCATCTAACTGGACGCTCGTCATTTCCTCGATTTTCAATGACTTTCGCTCAGCTGTATGCATATCGACGATTTATATTTCAAAGTTATTATTTCTATTTTTTTTAATAAGGTGATAATAATTGCGAAATAAAATCTTTGCCAATCTTGATCAAACCGCAGAGAAAATTTTGCAATATAAGATCAAAGACTTAAAAATGATATACACATGATTTTTTATATGATGTAATTTTGTATACATTTGTTTAATTCGAGAAGTCGCGGACGGGATAACTAAAGAAAAACCGAGGGAAAATTTTACTTTTATTTTTCAAGGTAATAGGCTTGACAGAAGTTGAATTAATTTTTAATTTTTCTCTATTTTTTTAGCTTAAAAATATAGGCGTGCATTCCAATGACGCGATTTGAAATAAATTCCCTAAAATATTTTCTAATTAATATACGATTACGAATATGATTCGCGATAGAGTTGAAATGAAGGAGCTTAATAGACGTTTAATTAATTTTGAATTTCGGTCCATTTTTTTATCTTAAAAGTAGGGGCGCGCATTACGCTGACGCGATTCAAAATAAATTCCCCGAAATATTTTCTAATTAATATATTCGAAATATCCCGAAGATCTAATTGACAATACCTGATCACGTGGTACGATTACGAATTTGATTCTCGACAGGGTTGGAACGCGCGAGCGGGGTGCGTTATTATGATAAACGCAACAATAACGAGGGATGATCCGACGTGTAAACTGTTAAACCCTCCTTCCTTTCCTCTATCGAGGGCTGTGGGTGAGGATTATCGTGGGGGTCGGACGGGCCGTCTGGAATCTACAGGGGGTTGTTATTGTTGCCGCGAAAGAATGGGAAGTAACGGCGGGGGAGAGTAAAAGGGAAACGCATACACACACACTTACATACACTTTCTGATATAGAAACGGTAGTCTATAATATATAGTATTCAAACGTGCGAGAGAGATCATCCCCTCTTCGATGATATCGACAGTGTGTTTGCCGCCTCCTATTACGAGCTCGATTGAGCCAAACTATACGATTATCGTGCGTCAGTGATAGCCTTTGTACGCCGCAGTCGCTGAAAATCCCGGGGGTTAAAGAGTTACGCCACTTATTTGCGCGTAACTGCTGCTGTCTGCTGGTCCCCATCGAACTCTCTTAATATAATCGGTGAAAATGTCATTGATTCAAATACACCGGAGATCAGCAAGTGTTTCACTCATCTTCAGTCGAAACACTCACTTTTCTCGTTCATTTTGCTGTGATTAAAATAGTAAGATTTCGAATATAATTAAGAAAATTTTCTCTTAAAATTTACCCTGATTAAAATCGCGATAATCATGGGAAAATATTGGAAGAATTTTATAAGAGTTATTCTGATTAATATTTGTCACGATAAAAAATATTAATGTTTACCACAATAAGATATAAAATATGTTCGATAGTAAAATTTATTACGTAGGTACATATTAATATTTTTTATTATGGTAAATATTAATCAATTCCAATATATTGTCCCTTGATTGTCATGATTTTCAGAGTAAATTCTAGGAGAAAATTTTCACCGTGTAGTATTCAGAATTACATACAAAATCAGTAATAATCGTACATATTTGTTGCTGCATGTTTATGAAATATTGAGTGAATTTTCTTCCTCGAAATTTCTGCGAGAAATTTTTCAGACAGTCGCGAGAGATTTGTTTGTCATCGTAATTTTTTAATTTTGCGATACGTTATATTAAGTACTTATCTTTGCGTAATTAAGAGGGTGAAATAAAAATTCTATCGTGGTAAGATCTACTCGAGGATCGATTGGAGAACGTATACGCGTGGCGTGCGCAATCAATTCAATTAAAAATTGATTTCCATCCGCGGGTGACACATCAAACAAACCGTCTCCCACCCTCGCGCTTTCGCAATGCTTTCTCTTATTCCGGATTTCCCTCTGCGGCCTCTCATAAAGCATCGACTCGCAATTCGAAAGCGAGTTATAAATATTCAAACGGGAGGCTGTACGTGGACCACGACGCGGCGGGGAACGGTTTTGTCCTTTTGTCAGCGCGATCATTATAACTCTCGCTTCTCTCCAATTTTTCTGTCGACTCGCGAGAGAGGATTTTGACTGGTTCGAGAGGCGAGTATATATACAATACTACACATTCGCGAGTGACGATGTTAAGATAGAGCGCAATATTGCACACGTAACGTTATACAATGACATTTTTTTATTCGACACGGAATAAGAATAATCTTTCCTCTTTTGACATATAAATATAGATTTAGTGTAAATGTATTTTATATAGCATACCGTTTCCGATAGTAACACGTGTGTGGTATGGAAAAATAAGTTGAAAATGTATATGTAAATTTTTACTCGAAATAATTAAAACAAGTGATTTTTTATTATATAATAAAAGAGAAGAGAGGAGAGAATTTTCTCTTAGAATTTACTCTGAAAATCGTGGGACAATATGATATTGAAGGAATTTTATAAAAATTTCTCTGATTAATATTAATCACAATAAAAAATATTTATGTACAATTAATCGAATATATTTTATTTCTAATTAGTAAATATTAATATTTTTATTGTGGTTAAAATATTAGTCAGAGAAATTCTTATAAAATTCTTTACCATATTATCCCATGATTACCATAATTTTCAGAATAATTTCTGCGCATAGTTAATAACACGTGTGATATGGGAAACCTATATGCTATAGTTCTGTGCGACAAAATAAATTAAAGACGCAGAAAAATACACATAATTTTTCCCAAAAGCTCTTTAAATAACTAAAATAAATTATATATTATATTATAAAATAGAGGAGAAAAAAATATGCGTATAAATGGATGTTGAATTATGACTTAAACACTGGGTGCATTCGATCCTAGAAATACCCAAGCCGAAAGTGAGGCAGGCATTAATGACGCCGTATCTACCTACCTACCTTAGTGTGTACACCCCGTTCCCAAAGTGTGCTTTCGAAAATCCGTTATTAACGACGGGCTATTATGACGTTTCACGGTGCACGTCAACGCGCGGGCGCTTATCCAGTGACGTTGCTCCGAGTCCTGACGCACACACGCTGCATATTATTCTAGAAACTGAAGACACGCGCCGGCACGCTCCTATTCATCTAGAGGCGGCCTATATTGCGCCTGTCCGTCTCCCTTTTCCGCCTGTCTCGCCTATGTTAATTATTCGGAATAACCTCGCTGCTAATTCGGCGCGCAAACTAATATTAATAATATATTATTTAATATATTATTTAATTTGTGTATATGATATATAGATCTCTTTCTTGTATTCAATGTACCAACATTTGTTTCCAGGTTATCGAAGCGGTGACTACCAGTCAAGATACGGTTACAATAGCGCCAGTTCGAGTCAGACTCGCGGACCATGGCCCAATTATGGTCCGCCGAATTTCAATCAGTCGCCTTACGAGTATCAGCAACAGCGCAATTATAATAATCATCATCAGGCGCGAAATAATTATCAGAACACGCAGCAGGGATATCAGAGTCAAGGGGTATGTCTTTTTCCCTTTTATTGCATTTCGATATATGTATATGATCTGTTTCTCAATCTGGTTCTCCATATCTTTATTTTTTTTTTTTTTTAATTATATGTGTGTCTTTTTAAAGTGAAAAATCAGAAAAGATTTAAAAATAATGAAGCTTATTTCTTCGAAGTTTCAACTTTAAATAATTGTAATGATAGAGATACAGGTAGTGAAAGAAAAAGATAGAAAAAATAGTATATTATCGATCGAAGTAGTATCTCTTCATAGAATATATTTTTAATCGAGATGCTTCGCTTATATCTCATGTTATAGAATTATTCTCGAGGAAATGGTGGAGGAGGTCACCGAGACAGATGGCGACGATCGATGTAGACATCAAAATGTAAAAAAGTGTAGACTAACTTTGTCGCACGTTATCATGTAATAATTAAGATTGAATTTTTGCGAAGAATCGCTATGCATAATAATCGTAACAAGGTAAGGTTTATAGGAATTATTATCTATTATAGAATCACACATTTTTCTTGGTCAAAATACGCGTTCTAAATGAAATAAATATATACAAAGTAAACGGGAAGGCATGCTGAAGTTTTCGATAAATTTGCAATAGAAACGCGATTGAATATTTCGCGCTGCAAGTGCTGTGTTCGTATTTCGCATTTTTTAAAAACATCGTGATATTATCAATATAACATTGCTTGTTTTTACCTGTGATTTTCTCTGCAAGATACATCATGTATAAATATTTGTGTAAAATATGCGTGTTTAAAATACCAGTTTAAAATGCATTACCTTTCAAAAGTTATACGTTGTTCTTCGGTTTTATATATTTTTTCGAGACACATTGATTGAATTTTTTTCTTTTTTCAATTTTCGTATTATATTTCAATACTCGATTATTCACGATCAAGAGAAAACGCATAAAAACAAATACACCATTTTATATTATATTTATATTTGTTATATATATATTCCCGAGTCGAAATTTTTCATATTATTGTTTTTAATTTCAATTTTATTCATATTTATAATTTTTAGAGAAATATATTTAACTTTTATGCAGGAATTAATATTCCTCTTTGTACCTCAAATAAACAATAAACAAATGTTTTCTCACTCTTAGAACTTTGAACAAAACTATTATAATATATTAACTATTAAATAATTTGAAGAAATGATGATATATCTGATTATGTTCAAAGTACCAAAATAATAAATATTAAAAATTGAGATGGAAAATGGACGCAAAATTTCAACTCGGGGTACATATGTTACGAATGCAGATACTAACATGAGTTATCACAAATAAAAGAGACCGATGCACAGTTATTAGAATTTGAAGAGAGAGAAAAGAACGCTTCTCTTTCTATTTCTTTACGCGCTATTGCATTTTGTATTAAACAGTGTGTATCCTACACTAATTAAATTCTGCATTCATATTGAATGTAACGATCGCTTCGTTCATGTGTTTGTAAAAATAGTATAGGCACAGAAGCATATTGAAATAAAGACGTCTTTCATCTTATGCAATCAAGTACAACGTTTACGATCATCAATCGTAATAATATCGTTTTGACAAAACTCACAGCTTTCGGACGATTACTGTGTCTAATATTTAGAACGAGTACGTTGACAAGAATATCGTAAATTATGTATTAGTTAAGATTGTCGATACATTAAAAATGTATCAGGTTATATCGGATATCGAAGTTGGTGCGCGAAAGAATTCGCGCATGTTAAATATTAAGATATAACAATATATCGGTGTGACCGTAAGTAACATTCTGAATTTCTCACTCTGTATTGAAATACACGATATTTCCTTATGAATTTTGTATTTCCTGAACATTTTTAAATTATTTTACAAGCTCGATCGAAGGATCGAAAGGAATAACAATGATTTTAATCATATATAAGATAAAAATTTCAGGTATAACTTATAACAGGTAAGAATTACATAAAATTATCGTATTAAACAGTGAATGCATTTATCATGTTTTACAATATATTCTCGTTTTATTTTTAACGCGACTACATTCTGACTTTCTCACTCTGAATTTTTTGTATTTTCTGAAAATTTTTAAAATTATTTTACGACAAGCTCGATTGAAGAATCGAAATAAATAACAATTTTTAATGATATAAAATAAAAATTTCAGGTACAACTTATAACAGGTAATAATTACATAAAATGAGTGCATTGAATCATGTTTCACAATTAATATATTTTCGACAGAGAGTAAAGAATTCTCGCTCTCGGTTTTTTTTCTTAACGCGACATCTTTCGCGCATAATAGCGATTCATTCGCACTGTGCGATTACATAATGGATCGTTGAGTGTCACACGTATACCGGGAGAAAATAGAAGCGCATACGACTCGCTTTATCGCGCGGTTTCGTTATTGTCCCTCTGATGAAATAAAGCTCTATCTGCGCCGAGAGATCTACCCCTGCTGCTAGTAGGTTGCGGTCGCTTATCAGGCACACATACAACACTCGCTCTCTCGATTTCTCCCCCATTGTCCAGCAGCAGCGGGGCACAATGCCGTCCTTTTACATCCACGTCGAATATAAGTAAGTCATCGCTCGTGCTTATTCGCACGCGGAATCTGATTTGACGAAAGGAGACGGTTGAAATTTAATGTCAATTGCTGATAAATTGAAATAGGAATGTCAAGAGTAAAATAGAGGAGAGTGTTTTTCAGAGCAATCTTGACAGATTTTGCTGAAAAGTTTGATTCAATTTTTTAATTAAAAATGTATGATTTAGGTCATAAATATTAGAATTTTTCAACAAAATCTGTCGAGATCGCTTCTAACACTCTTGACATTCCTATATTTTTAATTAAAAATGCATGATTTAATTAATTGATTTTTTTTTATAATATCACAAATGACTGCAAAAATCTGTGAACAAAAACTCATAAACATAAAATATTCCTTGGCTCCTGACACATAGACACATCTTTCGATGACATACGTGCAACGAGAAGAAAGACGAGAGAGAGAGAGAGAGAAAAAAACGAGAAGAATATAGGAAGGAAAAAGTTGGGTGTACGAAGGTGTGTGGGGTCCGTTGGGTGATTGAATCGCGAAGTAGAAGGTGAGGACCCTCGTGGAAGCACATGGAAGGAAGGTCCAGGTGCGCCCTCGCCTCGCGCGATCGCATGCAACGTCGAAGCCTCTTTTGTTCTTCTCTCTTTCCTTCCTTCTCTCTCGTTTCATATACACATACGTGGAACATACGCGTTTACCTACCTACGCTTTGCTAACGCCGGCTAACGTAAAAACGCGCGTGTACACTCTCGTGCATTCGCGGGATGCGAGCGTCTGAGGCTCGAAAATATAATAGGGACTGGAGGACCGCGTCGTGCGCGAAATGGATGATGGATGTAAATGCCAAGTAGCCAAGAGAGTGCGCGCTGCCTCTTTCTTCTACTTTTCTATATGCCCTCTACTTCCGACGAGTACGTCGTTTAATAAGCAGCCATTGCCCGAAAATCGTTTTTTAAGACGCGAGATCACGCGGAAAGATCAAGCAGCTGCTGATCCTTTTTTTCCTCTTCTGCAACTTGCCGTATAAGCACTGCAAAAAAATTGTTAACCAAACCTTTCAACTAAATTACTATTTTGTTAAGTGAACATATATTAGTATTTAAGTCAAATATATGTTTTGTTAGATTTAATGTGCTATATTTAATTTAAATATTTCTATAACAAATCAATTAACAAAATAATATTTAATATCAACTTCTTGAGATTTTACATGTAAAAATTAAATGGAAAAGAATAGACAGTAGTATCATAGTATCCCACATTGAAATTGATTCAATTTTTAACCAACATCTATTTTCTTATTTTGAGCAGTCAAATATCATTTTTCTGTCGATTGAATTTTAGTTTGTCTCCTATTTTAAATCTCTAAGTGAGAAACTTCTCTATATTTGAGTACTGAATGAAGAGCTAGGCAATTCTGCATTTTATTTATTTATTTTACACGGCAAGAGAGAAGAAACAGCGAGTTTATTTTTAAGCGACAACAAAAATAGCGATCGTAGTGAACAAGTCGTTGTCTCGCGTTCGATGTTTAACCCTTCTGTCAATAAACTGACACCCGGGGTCCGAAGCAGCTTTAAATGTTAAAAATTCGGAAACAAAAATAAGAAAGAAAATGTTTGATATCCAGCAGCTGTTAAGACGAAAATTATTCCGGTGCAATGCGTCGAAAACACGTTGTTGGTGTTTAGCTACCCATGCATTGATGATAGGGTGAAAAATCGTGCGCTGACAGAAGGATTAACAAGGGGCCGTCAGATCTCCGTGCTAAGAAAAAGACAGGCGCGAATCCGCGGAGGATCGGTGGGTGGTCGATTTTCAGCTACACGGGTGAAAGACAGGAAAGGTGAGCGAGATGAGCGCATCTCGTTACGCGACGTGGCTCCTACCATAGGCCACCGCGATGACGCAGCACCAGCTCCTGGGTTACCTCTCTGTCCATTGTTCTCCCCGCATTTCTTCTCCGGCTCGTGTTCAAGTGCTCGAGAGCTCAATCGCTAACCCACCCTCGAAGCCCGGATCTCCCTCGGCGTCGACGTACTTTTTAAACGCGTTCGCCGCGCGCGTTTTTTTTTCCTTCGCGTAGTAGACATAAATGTCGACTTCTCTGTCCGATTTTGCCGCACAAAGCGGCTAAGTTTCAGCGCTAATTGCGAGCTCGAAGTCGCGATGAAGATTCGTCAGATTCGTCGCTCGCGGATTTTTGAAATTTAATCGAGATTGATGAGATTTGATATATTGACGAAATTTAAGAGGCGCGATCTAAATGGACGAGAGTATCTTTGATACTTTCAACTTTAAATAGTTAGATTATTCTTCGTTGAAACTTTTTAATCCATAGCCATATTTTGCTAAAAGTTCTTTTTTTTCATTCTCTAAATGAGAAATTGTTTATTTAAAGTGCAAATAGAAGAGTTTCCTATTTACAATTTATAGGTATAAATTAAATCTTAAAATATTCTATAAAAGAGAGACAAATGTCGAGGTTGAAAATAGAAATTTTTATAAGAATAAAGAGGGAGAGAGAGAAAATGAGTATTTTAATACAAAATATAATTATTTATATAAATCTAAAAAAGTAAAATAAATTTGCTGGCGAACACGTGTTATATATGCTTTGAATTAAAATTTTATCGAATAGAGAAATGTCATGAATTCAGTATTTTTATTTGTATGACATATTTTTGATTTAATCTTTTTCAATTATATTAATATTTAAAATAGCAGGTATATACTTCAAATTTCATCAATTTTGTCCAATTTATTTAATAATATTTCGACCTCTGAATAGATCCGAAAATGTTCCATATTAATTAGAAAATGTTGACAGTTCTTAATATAATTTTAATAATTCTTACACGAAGAGAATTTTCTCTAAAAATGTTTCGAACATATTTTACATATATTATGTGATAAATCTTAATCAGAGAAACTCTCATTAAAATTCTTCTAGTACCACATTGTCATGTCCCACGATTATCCCACGATTCCATGGTAAATTTGAAGAGAAAATCCTATGATAGCATTTAATTACAACAGAAAGTATCGAACAACAGTAGACGCATTTCCGAGATTTCAGAGTTTAGAGAGAAAAATCGGCAATAATAATTACGGGGAACATCGCGGGAAAAGGCGATGAAAACGAGGTATTCGATACTTAATCGGTGTAGTACCGTCGCGTTAACGTCCCTATCTAAATAATCAGTTGGCTCAATAGGGAGGAGAGAGGGCTCTCGCGACGCAGGGCGTCGAGGACCGACTTCCGTGGCAGAGGCACCCCACGACGTTCCCGCGCGGGGCATCCGCCTGTCGATAATGTCCCGCAGCTCACCGGAGACAGCGGGCCTCACCTGCGGCCAGGCTCCGGCGGACCCCCCTGAAATCCTTCGATAATCGGACTCCTTGACTCCGACCGCCCAGTCTCGCGGAA